ATATATGTGTATATATATATGTGTATATATATACATACAGTATATGATTTAACCAGGTAGATCTCCCTTAAATTTAGATTTTTATGGGAGACTTTTAAAGTGTCCCTTAAAAAAGGAGATTTTTAGGTCTAAATTTTTTTTACCTATACATATTTATCCCACTCAATTAATGTGTGATTTATTTATTTTCTATTATAAGTTTTATATCGTGATATATATCGTTACCGCCACTCATCATAATGTATATCGTGATATGAATTTTTTGCCATATCGCACATTCCTACCTGACATGTGTTTATTTCCTGCAGGATTATCTGGCTCACATCATCGATCAGTCCAGTCTGTCCATCCATCCTGAGCAGGTCTGCGCTCTGTTTGGAAACATCGAGGACATTTATGAGTTCAACAGGTGAGAACTCAAGAAACACCTCCTTCCTTTTACTGTGTGTGCCCTGTAATTACTTTGATTAAAACACTAAAAATCATGTAGCAGTTTGTAAAATGATGACGATGTTTCTGCCTCGTTGCCATGGTAACTGCCTCCTGTTCGCAGCGAGCTGCTGCACGACCTCGACTTGTGTGAGAACGATCCCGTCGCCGTCGCCAGGTGTTTTGTTGTGAAGGTGAGAATTTGATAATCAAACAAAGACGTTAAAAGGAATTTTAAAAGGTTTTATTGTTTGACCTCATATTTCTGTTTCAGAGTGATTACTTTGAAATCTACACCCAGTACTGCACCAACTACCCAAAGTAAGTCCTGCATTCCTGATCACACCTGCTTCCTACTGGTTCACACCTTGTCCTCACCTGATATTATGGAGTGGTTTGAGACCAAAATTAAGACTATTGCACAATCAGCACTTGCTGCATCCTTGTAGCAGAAGGCTACATGTATTCCTAACCAGCTATTGATCTGACTATTGATAGGCTGGCACCACTAACTGAGGCCAGTGCTGGCAAATGAAAAGGAGACTATTCATTTGAGTAAGTATCAGGGAGGCTAGTGACTAGCATGGATAAGCTGGCGATAGCATTGGAGAGGCTAGCGACTAGCATGGATAAGCTGGCGATAGCATTGGACAGGCTAGCAACTAGCATGGATAAGCTGGCGATAGCATTGGACAGGCTAGCAACTAGCATAGATAAGCTGGCATTAGCATTGTAGAGGCTAGTGACTGCATGGATAAGCTAGCATTAGCATCGTAGAGGTTAGTGACTAGCATAGATAAGCTGGTGATAGAATTGGAGAGGCTAGTGACTAGCATGAATAAGCTGGCATTAGCATCGTAGAGGCTAGTGACTAGCATGGATAAGCTGGCGTTAGCATCGTAGAGGCTAGTGACTAGCATGGATAAGCTGGCGTTAGCATCGTAGAGGCTAGAGACTAGCATGGATAAGCTGGCGTTAGCATCGAATAGGCTAGTGACTAGCCTAGATAAGCTGGCGATAAAATTGGAGATGCTAGTGACTAGCATGGATAAGCTGGCGATAGCATTGGACAGGCTAGCAACTAGCATAGATAAGCTGGCGATAGCATTGGAGAGGCTAGTAACTAGCATGGATAAGCTGGTGATAGCATTGGAGAGGCTAGTAACTAGTATGGATAAGCTGGCATTAGCATTGAAGAGGCTAGTGACTAGCATAGATAAGCTGGTGATAGCATTGGAGAGGCTAGTAATTAGCATGTATAAGCTGGTGATAGCATTAGAGAGGCTAGTGACTAGCATGGATAACTAGGCATTAGCATCATAGAGGCTAGCGACTAGCATGGATAAGCTGGCATTAGCATTGGAGAGGCTAGTGACTAGCTTAGATAAGCTGGCATTAGCATTGGAGAGGCTAGTGACTAGCGTGAATAAGCTGGCGATAGCATTGGAGAGGCTAGTAACTAGCATGTATAAGCTGGTGATAGCATTGGAGAGGCTAGTGACTAGCATGGATAACTAGGCATTAGCATCGTAGAGGCTAGCGACTAGCATGATAAGCTGGCAATAGCATTGGAGAGGCTAGTGACTAACGTGGATAAGCTGGCATTAGCATCGTAGAGGCTAGTGACTAGCATGAATAAGCTGGCATTAGCATTGGAGAGGCTAGTGACTAGCTTAGATAAGCTGGCATTAGCATTGGAGAGGCTAGTGACTAGCGTGAATAAGCTGGCATTAGCATTGGAGAGGCTAGTGACTAGCGTGAATAAGCTGGCATTAGCATTGGAGAGGCTAGTGACTAGCATGAATAAGCTGGCGATAGCATTGGAGAGGCTAGTGACTAGCATGGAAAGCTGGCATTAGCATTGGAGAGGCTAGTGTCTAGCATAAATAAGCTGGCATTAGCATTGGAGAGGCTAGCAACTAGCATGGATAAGCTGGCGATAGCATTGGAGAGGCTAGTGACTAGCATGGATAAGCTGGCATTAGCATTGTAGAGGCTAGTGACTAGCATGAATAAGCTGGCATTAGCATTGGAGAGGCTAGCAACTAGCATGGATAAGCTGGTGTTAGCATTGGACAGGCTAACTGGCTTAAGAATAGATATAGCCTCCTGCTACAAGGATGTACTAACCGCTGGTTGAGCAAACAGTCTTAATTTTGGCCCTAAAACTGCACCTTTTCAACTTGTTCACTAATGTAATTTATTTTTTACAGCTGTTTTATGCCACACCCCAAATAGCTTCTTTACACCTTTTTCCATGTTACATGTTCAGTATCACCAGTTCATACCTGTCTGCTGGTGTAACAGCTGGATTCTAAATGTTCAGTTTCCATTGGTCTGTTGTTTTCCACCTGCATTTATTCCCACCTAAAAGCAGCCAGTTTTCACTTTTTCACACCTTTTCCCTTCTCGTTTACACCTGTTTAGGTGTTAACTCTTTACACACATTTCATATTTCCATCACCTGTAAACACTTATTTGCACCTTCATGTATTTTGTTTTACTTCTATATTTGCTCTGTTTTCTTTTAGCAGGATACCATGTCTAACTGCGAACACAAGTAGATCTTTGACTTAACAAGTTTCCGCCTGTTTAAGTTGTTTTTTCTTTTTTTTTTTTTATCCACACCTGTCACAGCTCAGTGGCAGCGCTGACAGAGTGCATGAGGAACAAATCTCTGGCCAAGTTTTTTCGTGACCGTCAGGCGTCGTTGAAGCGCTCACTTCCTCTGGGTTCGTACCTGCTGAAGCCTGTTCAGAGGATTCTGAAGTACCACCTGCTGCTACAGGTAGCTCACCTGCGTGCTTCGTTCCTGTCCCCGGTGGTACCGAGTGGTTTAGAGTTGACGTTGAATGACGTGGTGACGTTTGCAGGAGATTGCGAAGCACTTTGACCCCGAGGAGGAGGGGTATGAGGTGGTGGAGGAGGCCATCTACACCATGACGGGCGTGGCCTGGTACATCAACGACATGAAGAGGAAACACGAGCACGCCGTCCGCCTGCAGGTCGCTAACGCCACGCTGTGCTTTTAATCTTTTCATGTTAGACGAAGTAACGGTCAGCAGAGCGGAGTCTGAACGTTCGTCTCTCTGCAGGAGGTCCAGTCTCTGCTGCTGAACTGGAAAGGCCCAGACCTCTGCACATTTGGAGAACTGGTTCTGGAGGGAACCTTCAAAGTCCCACGGGCCAAACACGAGAGGACGCTCTTCCTGTTTGACCGCATGCTGCTCATCACCAAACGCCGCGAGGAACACTACGTCTACAAGACGCACATCTCTGTGAGGAAACAGATGTCAGCCTGAAGCTGCCGCCGCCGGCCTGGTTTTAATTTGAACGTTTTGTTTCCAGAGCTCCACCCTGATGCTGATCGAGAGCGCCAAAGACTCTCTGAGCTTCAGCGTGACCCACTACAAACACCCCAAACAGCCTCAGACGGTCCAGGTGGGTCCAGCTGCACAGGACCTCCCGACGATCAGCTGCTGATGGAGCCGGTCTCCAGCTGCTCGCTCACCTGTCCTCTCTTGTTTCTGGGTTTCAGGCGAAGACGGTGGAAGAGAAGAAGCTCTGGGCTCATCACATCAAACGCATCATTCTGGAAAACCACCACGCCGTCATCCCACAGAAGGTCAGTGAGTGGGGGCACGTGTCTGTGAGTAAGTGTCCAGGGGGAAAATGTCCTAGGGCAGGGGTGTCAAACTCATTTTCACTGAGGGCCACATGAGCGTTATTCAATTCGATTCAGTTTATTTATATAGCGCCAAGTCACAACATACGTTGTCTCAGGGCACTGTACATGAAAAAAAAGAACAATCTAAAGAAGAAACCAGCAGATTGTGTTGAATCACTTCATCACAGTCTCCCATCCTGAGCAAACAATGGAGAGGAAAAACTCCCTGCTAATCAGGAAGAAACCTCCAGCAGAACCAGGCTCAGGACAGACGGCCATCTGCCTCAACCGGCTGGTTGAGGGACAGGAAAGAGACACAGACAAACACAGAAGAACTGGTCCAGGACTGGTCCAGGTGCACCTTCTTCTGGAAAAGAGACAAAGAAAATACATGTTATTGATAGAAAAATGTATGAACACCTCCAAACAATCGTACAC